CGTTTAGTAGAGAAGTTAAATAAAAAATACATACCCCGTATTGGAAAGAATTCAAGTTTAAATTTTTATTAGACGATATATCTGATGTAAGTACATAACTCCAAAGTGGATTTTAAAAGCCAAGTTGAATAGTACATATCACTTTGTCTAAGCTAAAAGCTGTCGAATAGCAGTAAGCAACAAAGAGCTGGACACCTTTACATGCATTTAACTGCACAAACAGAGAGGGGAAAACAACGATACATAATCTAGTTCAACCATTGGCCCATTTAAGTTTTTTCCCCACCCCAGAGAATAATTTAAACTTGAAATGCTTAGGAAGTTGATGTCAATTCAGAAAAAGTAGAACTACTTATATTTTTACGTTGCAATCAACTGGAAATATGTGTTAACTTCTATAAACTTATGCTTTTGTTATCTATATATTTAATTTTTCCAATTACAAAATGCTTTAATGCCTTAATAATTATATAATGAAGTAATGTTTAAAACGTTCTTAATGATTTGTTTCTTTAAAGGCTATTTTATAGAGTTGTGATGTTTATGAAAGGAGAAATTATACGCCTGACTGATAATACATAACTAATTATTTTAATGATTGTTACAAAATGATTCATGCAAATTACATAATTTATTTATTTTTAAGTATTTAGTGCCAAAAATAATTTATTTATATAACAATAAAATTTTATTATTTCCGCCTAAAATTACTTAATGATCATTCTGTATATTTTTAACGTTGTTCTACCAGCATGACGTAATATTTATTTGTTTTCTCTTCGATCGTAGCTCGAAGGCAAACATTAATCTATAGATACATCGAATTTTATGTAGAACGACCCGTTTTATTTCTATAGTTATTTATGAATTTTCAATTTTTAAGACGTTTTTCCTAAACCAATCAATGATAAATACAAATTTAAAATTAAACACTTNCTATCAACAATTTGTTTTTAAAATTTAATAATTTTGTAATTTTAATTAGTGATTTTTCAATCACTAATTAAAATTAAACTAAATTAAAGGAGTGGCTAAGAAAGTAGAAGTTCAAAGTAATCAATTTAATTAAAACAAGTTAAAATTGAATTTTTAAAATCAATTTTAAATTAAATACAATAACGTGTATGACCCATTGTAATTTAAATTTATTTGTTAGCCGTATTACGTTTAATTCCTTGCTCTGCCGCTGTAGAAAACAAGTTACATCTGATATTTATTTATTATTGTATTGTGTAATATTTTAAATCAATGTCAATTATTAATAAGTTTTTTCCCCATTAATTTCTGTTGTAAAATAAACACTCCTTTATCTATAAATTATACCACTCTCTTATTATAACAAGGAAGATACACTTTTTAGTCATAATAATAAAGAAATAATTTCACTTTTTTTGGTGTGCGTGATGCACGTGTATGCACGAAAAAAAAATGTATATATATGTAAAAATTCAATAATTTCCAAAATAACCCTACGTGCATATGTATATCATTTAACTAAAATTAAATTATTGTTATAATAACTTGAATGTTTTTGCTTTAAATGTTGAAGTTTTCAACTTTCTTCTTTCTTAAAGGTGTTGGAAAAAATTGTAAACAATCGACAGTTGTTGGAACAATTTTAGAATTTAAAGAAGCTAACTCTCCGGAAAATAAATATTTGCTTTTCTGTTTTGTATTCACTTTAGGATATGTAGTCAGTGGCGTAGCTACGGCTCTATTGACCCGTTGACAAGAATTTAACTCAGGTTTTTCTTAGTACAGCAGCAGGTAAACCTCATTTATTTTTAGGCACGTTTACCAAAAAATTTTTAAAGCAATTTTATATTTTTTACTATGGCATGTGTTTTTTAAGAGGGGGCGATATTTTTAAGAGAACTAATTTTCAGTAGAATAAAAAAAAAATAAAATATGAGCAATTGCTTCTCGTTTCATTTAATATTCACTCTCAATATTATATGTTAAAAATATACTGTACCGGTACATAATTACCGTAGAAGGGTTATAAAATTTATAAGAAAATGTCGCCTCAAGTTATTCAATATTGATAATTTATTAATATAAATGTGGTAATATAATGCCATATCCGGAAATGATATTAGAGCATGCCAACCTAAATTCATCTTTCTAATATCTAGAAGAGTAAGCTTCTAGATATTGTACAGTAAAACCTGCGTAAACCGGATTCGCAAGGTACCGAATATTTTCCGGTTTGGCAGGTTACCGTTTTCAACAGGTTTTCTTAAACACAGGAATTTTTCTCTTTTTGGCAGGTTTCCGTTTTGAACAGGTTTTACTGTATTGTGTGAAAGTGCGTTTATCAGATTGCAATCTTTTTCCTGTACTTATTTGACGTTTCTTCATTTATTTTCAAAGATAAGAAATACCGGGCCTCTCGGGTCCCTAATTACTCTCCACATTACTGGGAATTTAATAAATTCTATGAAAAATTATCATATTTTGTTTCATAAATCATGTAATTTAGATAAATAATTATTTATATCTGATAACTATCTGCATTTGTAGTTATGATGAATTGAGTTAACGTGTTATTGCTTGAATAATTTTATACGATATAATTATAGACATTGATATCTATTAGATATTAATTCAATCTCGTAAAAGAAATGAAATTCAGCAAAATAATTCCGTGTAAACTTTTTCTTTTATACAAGATATCGATCGAAAGACTAAATACCTGCATTTCTAGTAATGAGATTATTGTCAATTCAACAAGCAAACTTCTTATTTTCTACTTTAAAAAATATATATATTTTTTACAGAATAAATTATAAATTTTAATTAAAACTTTCGGATTTAGTTTGTAATTTTAGTTAATTATAATAAATAACTTACTTGAAATTATCGGTTTTTTAATTATTTATTTTTATTACAATTTAACAAAATAAAAATTTAAAAATTCGGAAAGAAAATTAATAATTTAATATTCTGATAATTAAGTTTAAAATATAAAACATTACAGCTACATTTATACGTTTAGATAAATTATTTTCATATTAAAAGGATTAATAATAATATGTTTATTATAGGGAGGACCCGGGTTCGAACCCGAGCAATCGAAAATCTCAAGAATTCTCCGGGGGTGGTCTGTCCTCCTAAAGATTCCATCAACTTCCATTCTCCCGTGTTGACCTAACCGAATTTACCATGAGCTTGAAAAAGGGCCTTTTTTTTATGCCCGAAGAGTTTCTTTTAAATAAATTTTTAATTAATATAACGGTAATAAAAGTAATATTTTTATTACCATTATAACATATTAAATAATTTTGAAAGTATAAAATTTTTATAATTGTAAATTATTCTATGAAAGAATTAAATTTTCAATTATTTCCGTAGATTTTATCTTTTCGTTTTTCTAACGATAATAGAAAGAGTTTTAATAATGGCAACTTATTTTCTACTTGTCATCTATGATATGTTATTACAATAGAAGTGAATTATTCACATGGAAGAGGAAATATTAATGTAAACAGAACCTCGTTTGCGATAACATATGACTTTTGTTGTAGTTTTCATAGTTCATTTGCCTTTATTATACATAATACTACGTAAAAATCTTTATTGTTGCAAGATTTCTTTGAAATAAAAGATACAACCCGGCAGTAAAATACATTAACGTTGAAAATAATCAGACTGGAAAAAGTACATACTTTCTCTACCATTTTTACACGGTCACTGACTCCTACTGTATACATGTTTAAATGTGCTGCCATCTGTCAATAAACAGGATAACTACATTTTACATTTTTACGAGATTTTAATTATAAATGGAACATAGAAATGATAACTAAATACAAATTTTTCACTGATAAATAAATCTATTTATTAATTAACATTAAAATAATGCATTAATTTTATTTATAATGTTTAAAATAATATTCTTAATTGAGCGTAACAGTTATATAATATAAATTATTTAATATTTATAATAGTGTATACATAATACAATTGTGTTTTTTTTTGTAGTTGCCATAGTTTTCTATTGTAAAATTAAGTAAATTATTCAAATAGAACTGAACAATGGTCACTGATGACTCATAAAAAAATGGCGGCTCTTGTGAGATGGTTTTGGTTTAAAGGTTATTTCGTATGCATTTAAAAAAGAAACACCTGAAAAAAATGGCCGCCGTTTAGAGGTGGCCTTTATAAGAAGTTCGGTTGTAATTATTTTTATAGCTTCAACTCTACACTTATGCATATTTAAACATTTCAGTTATAAAATAACCGATATATTTAAATATTTATATTTATATTTAATAAATTATTAGTATGTTAATTATGTTCGCGATTATATGTTAATGAGATTAATTTAATTAATCAGAAAAATTTGTTAAATATTTAATAATTAAAATTTTTTTCTGGAAATTTATTAAGCTCAAAATAACGGTTTAGATTTCTTATATGAAAATTAATATTAAAAAAAATTATATAACATAGAAAGTGGATTAAATGTAGCTATTTTTCTAAAATTGATCATCGATAAATCGATACGTAAGAAATTTTTAAAATCATCCATCTTACGTAAATTTAAGCATATATATAGTTGATACGCATATATAGCATTAAATTATAATACAAGCCTTGTTTAACAGAAATTATAAATTAAAAATAAAGCATAATTACAATGACATATAATTAATTTGTAACTTGAGATTTTATGTAATGTGACTAATTTTCACTTACGAAATTTTCGTAGGGAATAATTAACTTTCTAGCCAACAGATGGAAGCATAATAGCATATTATACGAAAGATTAAAATAAAATTTTTAAACAATATAATAAAATTATTAAATAGATATTAATTAAAACTTATTATTTATTAACTTATAACTCAATTAAATGAGTTTATAAATAATAAAAACGTAATTTAAATTATACGCTGTATCTCCGTGTGTGATGTCATAGTGGATTTTAGAGCATGCGCCACGACGTACTATAATGTCATACCAGTACGTGAATCAAAATACACATTTACCTTCATTGTCGATGTAGGAGCTTCTGTTAACGAGGCAGAGAAGGTAGAAAGAGTTAAGGAAATTATCAAGCGATGTTTTTTGTCGATACGGACGACTAAAAATGATGATTTACTGATGATTGTAAGTATGTTATTATATTATTAACCAGTAACATAATTTAATGGTAAATTTGGTCGTATCACCAAATCTTCGTATTGCGGATCACATTGAATATAGGTCAAAGAGGAGGGTTTTTGTTTTTTCTCTTTCTTTATATACTAGTAAAATTGACCGCATCTGCTATACGCCATATCCCGTTTGTTAGCGTTAATAAGCATCTATTGTTATCATCCTTTGTTTAGGAATTTCTTAATGGTCTCTGTATCTTACTCGCTTCGTGTTTCACGTGAATTTTCAAATCGATTTTTGTATAACATAAATTATGATTGGTTATTGTGGGTGTCGGAATGTTCCGACACTTTCGATTTATCTTAATGTTGACATCTAGTTTAAATAGTGGTTTGTGAAGGTTAAATTAATTGTTTCAGATCCTATTATTGTTTGCTTTTGTTTAAAACGAGTGGAGAAATATAACTAGCTTTAAAGAAAGGAATGCAGCTTTGCTAATGATGTCAGAGAAGATGAACGAGCATTAAAAGACGAGTATTTCAGGTTTGTTTTTAACGCTTTACTGGTAAATTTGCTTTTGAATTTTTTTTTATTTTATATTTTCGAAAAGTTAACTTCCAATGGGTAACGCCCTAAAGTTGTAGATTGCGTGAGTTATCCAGCAAACAGTATTAATTCTGGAGTGAACATTTGGTTAAAAATTCACGAGTTCGTTTTGATATTTATATTTTAATTCTAATCATTTCTACTTTTTCCAATTAAGGTCACGGTTAGACGTCTTTAATTCGTCCACATCGGGAATATTTCGATTTATCTGTACTCGTGGAATTTGTTTTGACAGTGAATGTTTCGCGCCATTTAACACCGTGTTCAATAGATTGTAAATTTTGAACTTTATAACGTTAACACATGGCTTCTTCTAAATAAAGATACGCTATTTATTTCTAGTATAAGTGTAATTATTTTAATAACTTTGGGTGTCTCCTAACTGATAACAGTAACCGATTGTTAACATTAAGCGGGATAAGTAAATAAGACTACAATTAGAGGAAGTATTGGTTTCACTGATGCTAACATTAAAACAATTTAAAAAAACGTATAATTCGAAAACTTATTAATTCTAATTATTATTAATTAATAAATACTTCGTACAGTATTGTTTGCTACCAATTTCAATTTACAATTTAAACTATTGTATTGTAAGAGAATAACGATTAAAACGATTAAATTAAAGCACTGGTAGCATAAAAATCATTATAGCTTATTGTTATCAGCCATATGTTGAAGCTGCCACCAGCACAAAAAAGAAAACATAAAAACCATCTATTGACCCGAAGATGATAACAATAACTGAAGTTTTATGATTTATAATAACTTGGAAACTGTTAATTTTGATAATTAACTGGTTCCAAATTACAATCCGCGATTACAATAAGCGGAGTATAGTGTATATATAATAATAAACATTTAAACTTTACTGTATAACATGTAAATGGCCCTCTCGTGTGAATTTAATCATGGAAATAAATCTCATTTTAATAAATTAAGTTTCAACCCCATATATTTCGGTTGTAATTTGTGTCAGAGTTAAAAGTTGAAAATTATTTTGGTTTAAACGCTTCATCATTTTTATCACTTTACGAATTTTAATTTCGTTATTTTTTTGAAATATATCCAAGTTTCTTATCGAAAATGCCGCAACAACAAAAAAAAAAAAAAAGATATATTTTTTGGAACTAATCCAATGATTTTAGACGGAAATTTTCACTCGGTAATTACTACATAATATTCTAACGAGGTTTCAACTACTAGATTAAATCATTAATGAATAAAAGAAATCATAAATATATTATTAAAAACTTTTTAACTTTTAAAAAAATAGGAATATATTCTTAGAAATTAAAAAAAAAAAATTACAATTATAATTTCTATTTTCTATAATTCTGAATGTATTGGTAATTAAGAAGACAGTTCTATGTAAACAATTGTATTTTCCTTTTGTTGGAACTACGCAAACAATATATTTTAATTAAAAAGTTTAATTTAATATAATATAGAATTCGAGTATTTAATCATATTTTCCGTGCCAAGAATTTTAATAATTAAATTTAAAAAAAAATGAATATTGTATATAAAGATGACTTTACAAAATTCCTTTTTTTTTTAATTCATAAATTTTGAGTGAATTAATTAAATACTGCAAAGTGTGCTTACTAATTAAATTTTGGAATGATAATAGCAGGAATTATGATTGTTATAAAAATAGTTTTTCTTATTTTACAGATTATTATAGAATAAAATCTCATTTTTATTTTATTGCAGTTTAGCATAAAATAACTAAACTCATAATTTATTAAGAAATAAATCAGAATGTGTTGTTCAGTTTTATATAGCCTAAAGCGATCAATGAAGAACTGCTCATAAATTGATGAGTAATTTTAGTTGTGGTTGTTTGTTTTTAGTTACGGTAATGCAACATTTGGGCGATCTGCCTGGGGGGTGTATTCCGGAATGTCTTTTTAAGGGAAACTGGCCCCTATTTAGGCGTTACAGACATGGAGAAAACCCGGAAAACTCCACGTCCGAGCGAGGCGCGAACCCACGACCGAACTTACCAGTGTTCAGGGAATAGAAGACCGCTTGGCTACTGGTGGGCCCTTAGTTGTGGTTAAAAATGACTTGTTTTCGTGATTTTTATTGTTCTTTCTTAGTATTTAGAAGCTGTGTAGATGTAATTTCTTCGTGTACATCCGGTTCAAATTAGTTTGTCCACTTCCCAACAGATGTTTCATTTGAAACTGCTCTGATCAAACGCTTTGTAAAATCACTTCATATTTTAATAAAAGAAATTTGCAGTGATATAAAAAAATTTTTTTTACTAAATTTAGCCTGTTTTGGTCCAGTTTGGGATGAAAGTTTAAACATTTAAAAAAAAAATTTTTTTTGAAATAATTTAATTAAACAATAATTTTTAATTCGTTTTATTTAAATTTTTATAACATTTAAATATGAGATTGGCATTATTAGTTGTAGGAAACTTCAAAGCTTAAGATATTTTCCTTTAGACATATTTTTTTTAAATAAGAGGAAATAATTTTACAAATCCCAAGAAAATGATAAATTTAAAAATATTTTTCTTTTGGGATTTGTAATTTAATTTTACACAGCATACGCTTTTTCCAAGAAAAATATTAATAGAAAATTTGTAGGATATTTAAAAAAATATTTCCAGTTTTTTATTAATTTTTTTTTCTTTTTAATAGTTTAAAACAATTTTAATTATAAATATTAATTGATATATTGATTAGTAGATCATTCGTTTACATTTTTAAATTGAAGTTTAAGTCTTTAATTAATTTAAATTCAATAATTATTATCAATTTATTAGAATCATTTTAGCAGTATTATAATAACCTTTACCACTAAGGAAAAATTATGGTATATTAAATTCTTTTTATAATGTAAAGTATTAAATTATTTTATATATAAGTGAAATTTAGATCATCGATTTGTATTTAACGATCTCGTGTTTTTACATTTTCAAAACTAAATTGATAAATTTTTTCCCCTTAATTTAAATCGTATTGTTAAATTTTCCTCAACAATTTTTACACCAAATCAATTGTACGATTTGTGAAGATTTCCTCAGTTTTCGTGATACGATATGTGTATAGCTCATATAGTTTTTGTATNATCTGCCTGGGGGGTGTATTCCGGAATGTCTTTTTAAGGGAAACTGGCCCCTATTTAGGCGTTACAGACATGGAGAAAACCCGGAAAACTCCACGTCCGAGCGAGGCGCGAACCCACGACCGAACTTACCAGTGTTCAGGGAATAGAAGACCGCTTGGCTACTGGTGGGCCCTTAGTTGTGGTTAAAAATGACTTGTTTTCGTGATTTTTATTGTTCTTTCTTAGTATTTAGAAGCTGTGTAGATGTAATTTCTTCGTGTACATCCGGTTCAAATTAGTTTGTCCACTTCCCAACAGATGTTTCATTTGAAACTGCTCTGATCAAACGCTTTGTAAAATCACTTCATATTTTAATAAAAGAAATTTGCAGTGATATAAAAAAATTTTTTTTACTAAATTTAGCCTGTTTTGGTCCAGTTTGGGATGAAAGTTTAAACATTTAAAAAAAAAATTTTTTTTGAAATAATTTAATTAAACAATAATTTTTAATTCGTTTTATTTAAATTTTTATAACATTTAAATATGAGATTGGCATTATTAGTTGTAGGAAACTTCAAAGCTTAAGATATTTTCCTTTAGACATATTTTTTTTAAATAAGAGGAAATAATTTTACAAATCCCAAGAAAATGATAAATTTAAAAATATTTTTCTTTTGGGATTTGTAATTTAATTTTACACAGCATACGCTTTTTCCAAGAAAAATATTAATAGAAAATTTGTAGGATATTTAAAAAAATATTTCCAGTTTTTTATTAATTTTTTTTTCTTTTTAATAGTTTAAAACAATTTTAATTATAAATATTAATTGATATATTGATTAGTAGATCATTCGTTTACATTTTTAAATTGAAGTTTAAGTCTTTAATTAATTTAAATTCAATAATTATTATCAATTTATTAGAATCATTTTAGCAGTATTATAATAACCTTTACCACTAAGGAAAAATTATGGTATATTAAATTCTTTTTATAATGTAAAGTATTAAATTATTTTATATATAAGTGAAATTTAGATGATCGATTTGTATTTAACGATCTCGTGTTTTTACATTTTCAAAACTAAATTGATGAATTTTTTCCCCTTAATTTAAATCGTATTGTTAAATTTTCCTCAACAATTTTTACACCAAATCAATTGTACGATTTGTGAAGATTTCCTCAGTTTTCGTGATACGATATGTGTATAGCTCATATAGTTTTTGTATTGAGAATAATTGCATGTTTTGCATCGGTGGATAAATCTATTATCTGAAATTTTCATGTACAGTAAAACCTGCGTAAGGTGGAAGAAAATCGCTCCGTTTTCATGAATTTTTTCCCTTTTGGACAGGTTTTATTTACTGTAATTATTTAATTTAAGAACTTTTTTCCCTTCCCTGCGTAAGTTGAATTATCTTCATTACCGAATAGCAACAATTTTTAAATCGTTTTCTACGTAAATTAGATAAAAATTTAAGTGTACACCAATGTTAACATGTATAAAAAAATTTTATAGATTAAATTCAATGATTTTATTGTTATAATAAGCCAAATATTATTGGAAAATGGTAGATGCGCTGGCGTATTGAATAGCGTATTATTAATATCTTTGATATTTATTTATAATGCTTAAGAGTTATTCTTTTCGAATATAATCAATACAGTTATAGGAAAAAAAATTTAAATAAATAAATTTTTACTATTTATTTATAATTAGATAGCATTATCATAGCTGTTTTTCTTAACTGTTGGATTGGTTTATTTTTATTTATGTTTTAGAAAATTTCTATTGTAATTCATGTTTCCTCGAGGCACTTCTATTGTTTGATCTCGAGTTTTCTTATGTTTACTCCTTTATTTTTCTTGATTTTTTTTTTTAAAGAAACGAAGACATCAAAAGAAAGATGTTTTTAATTAGTTCAATATTTGGTTAATTTCAGGATCGAACAAATTGACATGAGGGTGTGGAATTTCTATTTGGATAACCTTAATAGAATAATTGCAATATATTCAGGACCCAACCTAGCTACGATGTAAATGAAGCGCATCATTTTCAATTGCTTGTTTACACTTCTAATAAGCTGCACCACAGTATATAATTAATTTCCCAGCAAAATTACTTTATAATTATTTTTCCAATATGATTCTTCACGTAATAAATCGAAATTTGTTTTCGTGATCTTGTTTCGTGAGTCGTAGATTTATTAACAAAATTTGGCTCTCAGCCATACAGCTAGTCAGGTAAACAGTGTTTTTTTTTAAATTATTTATATATTAATTATTCTAATTATTAAATGGATTATTCTGTAAAAACTGTACTGATGTGATTTATGATGAATTTTGAGGTATTTTGAAAATAGATTCCGACTATACAAATGGATCTTGGAGTATTTGTAAGAGTTTTGAATCGTTTGGAGTTGATCCAACTCTAAATCTCATCATTCTTTGATCGGATGCGCTGCTTTTAAAACGAGCTGTAAGCTTAGAAAATATTGATGTTTTCTTTCTTAAAAATCGTGTTATCATGAACATGCGTTTTCCACCTAGGTCAGAAGTTTTTAATTTATTAATGTATTCGAAAGTTAGATTATTTTTTGAGAATATTAAATCGCCTTTTAAATTAACTTTTAATCCAAACTAAATTATAAATAAGAGGGTCGTGTTGATTTTTACATTTTGAATTTATTTAAAAAACCATCGCGTTTATTCTATATTTTTCATAATTGTATAGCTACAATACTAATAAAGATAAAAATTTAACCATTATGGTAAATTTTATTTTAGTTTAGAATAAGATAATTTTGTTTCAAACTGATAACATTTATATATATATATAAAGGAAACGTTAAGAATTCGGGGGAAAAACTAAAGGAAAAAAGCATTATTGTAACATAAAAACAAATATTTTAGTCAGTCGAATGAATAGTTAACAACAGATTCTAAATTTCCCACAGATTTGCTACCCATTCCTATTTATTTTCTAACGATTATAGTTGAAAAGTCAAGTTAAGGCACGTATCTAAAAAATATCCTGGATTTTCAAATTTATATACTGTATTATATAGTTTAACATTTAAAAAAATTGTATTTTTACTATGATTTAAAAGTATTCAATCGATATTCTAAGGAATAATTCTACTGAAGTTGAATATACTG